ACGGACGGAACTTCTGCTTTTTGAGCCGATAAGTTGAGGGTGACGTTGCATGAGTACTGGGGTAGACCTAAAAAGGGCTTCTAGCTGTTCTCCACTTCTTATAAATTGAGTTTGAGTCGTTATTAGGGGTAATTTCTCTAGTTGCGGCCGAAAAAAGGAGTTGGAGCCGTTGCGGCTCCAACTCCTTTTTTGGAAGAGTTGCGGCCGCCACCTTGATTGCTCTGGGTGGGAAATTTATTTCGCTCGTCGCTGTAAACCTAGGACTGCTGGAACGATGATATTTGGAGGCGAGTGAGATGTTCACTAAGTTTGTGCACGAAGAGTACCAAGTTTATTTAAGACAACAGGTGTGAAAGTTAGGTTTCTAATGAATAAAGAAATAAAGCTGTACGGGATATCCAATATTCGACCCAAAATGTTGTGTTATAGCGGGCTGTGTAAAGCGCAGATTTGGGCACACAGGTGCTTGGTCTTGAAAGTAACATGACACAGCACTTATTATGCAAAAAAAAAAAAAAAAAGGTGGCATAGGGAAACCAGGTGAAAATTTGGTTTGGGCGGCGTAACTCAATGGGAACCGGTTTTGACCATGAAAAGGCTGTCAAGAGAATATCACTGGTCGGGGGAGGTGGAGACTTTAGAGGTAGGAAGGGACTAGTGGACTGTACTTCCAATTGAAACAACTTTACGAAAGCTGGTTCCAAAGCCGAGAAAACAAAGTTGTCGGCCAAAACACGGTTTGCCTGTCAAGGGCTTTTGCGGCCTGCTGTTGTGTAATAACCTGTTGTGCGAGGTGCTGATATTCGGCGCACAGGTACTTTGACATGACCGTCACTTGGCACAACACTTATTATAACAAAAAGAGTTGGCATAGCGAAACCAGATGGAAATTTAGTTTGGGCGGCGTAACTAAATGGGAACTGGCTTTGACCGTCAAAGGCTGTCGGATAATACCACTCATCGTGGGAGGTGCACACTTTACAGGTAGGAAGGGACCAGTGGACGGTAATTCCAGTTCGAACCACTTTGCAATAGGTGGCTCTAAAGCCGAGAAAAAAAAATTGTTGTCTACAGAACTCGGGGTGTCAGCGTTTCCACATCCAAAAGGAGGCAGATCAAGAAAGAAAGCACACCACATAAACTTCCATACTCTAACGTCGATTCTCCAGTGGTTCCGAGTTTCATTGTTGTTTTCTTTAGATTTATATTTGTCACTTTTTTTACCGTTCGAATATTTCTTCATGAAGTACAGATTGCGTGCCATGCTTGTTCGGAAATATCATCGACATGGACGATGGGGACGAAACTTCTTTGTAGGGCATTCCTCCAACGCAATTGGCACTGCATACCCGCGAGTGTGGGATGGCGTTTCAGTTCGTCCCATCGGCGCTAACAGATGTAGGCGTTACTGGTACGAAAACAAACGCAGAGCGCAAAGCGGCAGTGTAGCTAGAATATGTCAGCCGTGCCGACACAGTGGCAGACATGATCGGGAGACCAAATTTCTAGCGTCGTACGGCACGGCTCCATCGTTGTCCATTTTCCACAAAACATCGGCGAGATGAAAAACTGTGAAACTTTGTCTCCACGAGATGCGACGCATAACTATTGAAGCACTTAATGACGCAGTACAGGCAGCAAGCACTTCATGCTGCTGCACCCAGCGCAACCGCACCACTCCGACTTCAATACGTACCAACGTACGCGGCTTGGTTTCGGTTTCGTTTTCCCTGGGGTTCTCACTGCCTACCTTCAGTACCGGCCGCGCGGCGGCGCGCCAGTCGCGTCGCCGCGTGTTGACAGACAGAGAGATACTACTAAAACTTAGCCAAATGGTTCTAGCCGGCAGCACGGAACCAACTGAACAGAGTCGTCCTTGGGGATTCACGCAGAACCTCTCTGCATTGAATTTTGCTTCGAATCCTGAACGGAGAAAATGAGTATTTTTTGTGGCCAGTCAACTTGAGGAATGTAGACGTATATTGCTGCTGGCTTCGATGGGGGCATAATATAAATATTGGAGGCGCGATAGATCAAAATGCCGCGACAGCTTCTAACGTTGCGAGACTCGTTTCCCACCTTTTGAAAACAGATAATTTCCCTTATTCATCATTTGCAGCGAGCAGGCTTTCGTGAATCAAGTAATTGCGAGATCAGCCAAACTCTTTCAGTGTGGACCAAAAGCTTTTCGGAAAAAAAAAAAAAAAAAAAAAAAAAAGAGCCAAGATGAATAGCCAACGCACCGACCGGCGTGGGTGGCTCAAACTTGAAGCTAACCGAATACAACCAAACTCAAGAAAAGCGGCTATCGAACGTTCCCATTCACTTGACTGCAACATTGGTGTTCCCTCCAGTGAAATGCCTCGTCTGGCGTCCTCAGTCCACTGTTCCTCATCCTTATAAAGAAACCACTTATCAGTTACCAAGCATTCGTCACTTTGAATGCGGTTCGAGACAGACAAGAAATCAAAACGTTTTTCCGTGATTCCTCCCCATCCAAGAAATCGAAAGCACGCGACCCGTGTGTTGTGGAGTAAACGGGCTTTCAAACTCGTGATGGAAGGAAACTATCTAGTGAGGCTTCACCACACTAATGAACACTCAGGCAAACTTAAGAAGTATTCGGACCTTCGTCAAATTACATTGTTCGCCACCGCGCCGACAACAAGTGTCCGCGAAAGCCACCGGAGACGCGGAGGGCGCGGAGCGACCTGGACCGGCTGGTTCCCGGTTTTCCCGCTTGGTGACGTCCGTTTTGCTGGAGTCGCGCAAAACTGCCGTTCTCGCCTCGAACAGCAAAGAACTTCCCAGTGAATTGTCAAACACATTTTCCTTTCTTATGTCATGTTTTTGTGACCTGTACACTGTTAGAGCTGATTTCTTCTGCATTTTTCCCTCCCATATTTTCCGCTCTGCCTCTGCCTTTTTCACTGAAGTAGTCTGTTCAGCCCCATCACCCGTGTGTAGGTATTTAAATGTAAGCTTTCGGGTTCGGTCAGTCGGCTTTCGGGCAGTACGTGGCACAACCAACGTTGTGTACAACGGTACAAATAATCAGTTGCAGCTCCACTGCGACATGAAGTCACAAACCTCCTGCACCAGTGTTTCTTGACTAAAACCTAACCCGCTTTCCGCCCGCTGAAGAGCAGGTGGTCGCATTTTTAAAATCAGTTTTAGTGGAGTACGCAGCCTCAATCTGACGTAATATTTCGGCTATGGTCATATTTCGTGCCACTATAACGCTAGCACTCATTTATCCTGGTTTCGTTTTCGACCGGAGCCGTGTGAGGGCGACCTACAAAATGTTTTTCCGCAGGGTAGGAAATTCCTCCTTGCCACTATTCCCATTTTCCCCTCTCCCACTGCTATCTTAAAGCCGGGGGGGGGGGGGGGGGGGATATCCTTTGGTTGCTGCTTTTAGGGGGCTAGATAAGCCGGGATAAGATACCGGCTTATTGAGCCCCAACAAAGAGTCCCCCTCCGTCAAGACAGCAGTGGGAAATGGGGAAATTGGAAGGTTGGGCGAGGAGGATTTTACTGCTTTGGGGAAAACCTTTTTGTGGGCTGGGCTTTAAGCGCGCGTAATTAACGACACAATCGAACAGCCGCCGACATGCTGCTCGGTCGCACAATAGCATCGGTGATAGCTCAGCTTTCTTCCGTTCGGTTGCACTGTAGGTCTTCGGATCAACGCGCTGGCTTGACCTTTTTCATATTGCCCACGACTTAGAGAGCCATCTTATAATTTTTGGTGCATGTCCTGGTGTAAATCCGATTGATATTGCTTAAATCAAAATTAACTAGCATATTTCTATGTATTGATTTATTTATTTAAATATTGATTTGGATAGCTATGTCGTCTCGAGAGCCGTTATAATAAAATCGGCACATACTCACACACACACAAAAAAGAAAGAAAATACATCGCACATTTTTTATATATTTTTTTCTTCCCCTTCATCCCGATGTAAACGCTTAATGTTTTAACCGAAAGTTCTGAATGATCCTTTCGATGACTCCAAACCTCAATGAAAATCGCTTTGGTGATTATTCCTTGGGGGGAAAGGTCCGATTTAAATGAAAGTAGATGATTTAAGTCATTATTAAAATCGTGAGTTTGGTCATGGTTTAAATCACGATTATAATTTCAAGATCCCGGAATCATAATTTTAGTTGTGATTTTAAAAACAAATTCAAAATCAAGAATCCTGATTTATGCTATGATTTCAATCACGAACCAAATGAAATAATCTGAAAAATTCTGACTTTCACTACGATATAAATCATCCTGATCTTTTTGTTTCTTCACGCTTGTTGAAAGAACAAGAAAAAAAAAATTCAGAGACGTTTTATTGACGCAACTTAACCATTCTCTCTTAGCAAAGATATCAGTGCTGCTACTTTGCGACTTCCGGCAAGGTTTGGCAAAATGTCAGAGTGGCTAAAGGGAGTATTCACTGGCGGCCATATCCGTGTGCGCTGCTGCTGAGCGCGTGCTGACGGCGAGCTTCCGCAGTCCTTTTAGAACGTGCATTTAGCACCATCAAGGTTGCCGGTCTTAGCGAGCTCGTTCTGAGCATGCGCTCTAAACAGCACCCACAGATATGGCGTCGAGTGAATACTCCCTATTGAATTTGAGATAAAGGCAATCACTTCACGACCCGCAGGCGCTACTTCCAGGCATCCATCGCAAACACGAATCATATATCTCGACCTGCTCTGAGCGGACTTTGCAATCCGATCAGAGGGCACCCAAAGGTAGCCGCTTGATCAATCCGATACGATCGATTAGTGCGTACCTGACGGTCGAAACGCGGGCAGCGAACAGGGAGCTTTTCAAACGGCGTCCCGTGACGCAACGCCGCCATGCTGGTGTCCGATATGGACAGGACTTAGAGTGTATGATAACGCGGGGTTCTGCGGCGTATCGATATTTCTCTATAAGCGCGACGGTCTGTGAAGGTGAAGGCCGTTGCGATATCAGATAACGACCACGAAAAAAATACCATATCAGAAAAAGGCAAGAGTGTTGCAGGTACTCTCCCGCGTTCGACGTCGGGCGGTTCTTTCTTACCGAATCCTTCACTGGGATAACACCTCTGAAAACCGTGAGTATACTTTGTGTTTTTATCACTAGCACATATAGCCATCAATACTTTTGGTGCAACGAATAATTCAATGTTACTTATATCTCGTTTCGTGCCGGAAACCGTAAGTATACTGTATACCGAGAAGAAACGTCTTAACGCGATCTTTCACTGTAGTACCCATAGCATCACAGTATCGTAAAACGATGAAAACGTCTTATAGTTTATTTGAAGTTTAATAAACCTTTGTCCTACAAGTTGGGCAAAGGTCACAAATTGTCTCTAGACAATTGTTCTAAGGTGTTCAACGCGATCTTTCACTGTAGTACCCATACCATCACAGTATCGTAAAACGATGATAACGTCTTATAGTTTATTTGAAGTTTAATAAACTTTTGTCCTACAAGTTGGGCAAAGTTCACAAATTGTCTTTAGACAATTGTTCTGTACAGCGTGTCTCCGATATCGGCCTTGCCCTTTGAAGATACAGTATAAATATGTTTCTTAACAGATTCCGATGTAGTCTATCAGAGAGGTGTAACAAATAATGCGTTTTTTAGTGAGACAGTATGGAAATATGAGTTTAGCTGAGTAGAAAATGACACAAAAAGTTTTGTTACCCCTTTGAGCTAAGCTTAGTTCCGAGTGAAACCACACATTTCGCGACATGTGGCGTTTATTTCTTAAAAATGAAGGAATTAAAATGTGAGGCAGTTCTGCTTTAGCTTCCTTCCATTCGTTTTTGGGCTTTAATAAACGCGACAATGGCCCACGATGCATTTTGATAATTTCGCTAAAATAAGAAAGAAATAAAGGCTTAGCTGGACGTTCGTCCACAGGAAAAAAGAAATCGTCATTTTTTTTTTTCTAGCTAAGGCGATATCATTATTTCATACTTCAAACTAATAAATTAACCGCCCTTGAGAACCGGAGTAGGAAATTGTAGAGCGATACGTTAGAAAATCTAGTTACGCAATATTGTTCAATTTTTTTTTTTTTTTTTTTTTTTTTTATGGGGGAAAGGGGGGGGGGGGGTGGAATGTAGAAGCCGGTTGAGACAGCCTGCTGAGTTTCGGTTTGAGGCCTTGTCCATTGGAATAACATTTCTCGAGCGTTGACTACGATTTTTTTTTTTTTTAAAGGGAAATTTTACGTTAAGGCTAGAACGCATTGAGGTCGAGCGTCAAGTCTCGAGATACATTATGCCCCAAAAATGAAAATGTATAAAGTTAATTAAAACTTTCGATCTAATTCGCCAACTAATTAACCAAAATGGGCCTCTTCCCTATAAAGTCAGCAGCCATTGCTGCCATTATAGTGGCCGGAATGGCTGCTAACTTGGCCACAAGAAAAACCCTAACGCAAAATAATCTTTACAAAAAAAAAAAAAAAAAACTAGGCCGATATAGAACATTAAAAAATCTGCGTGTAATAAAATAAATACAAAACTCTCAATAATACGAGAGTAAATCTAAGATACAAACAAAATCATGATTTTTTTTTTTTTTTTTAATGAAATAAATCAGGTTTGACGATAATAATCCCTCGAGAAGGAGAACAAGGGGGACAAAAATAAAAAAAAAAAACACAAATCTTCAAACACAGCTACGTCTGGAAAATTGCCACTCTTTATTCTTATGTGTATTTGTAGACATGACAGATGGATTGATCAAGTTCTCCGATCACTGATCGCAATGCAGAAGAAATACTGTAAATTGAAAGTACGGTTTAATGAACAACTTGTTATTGATGTAGCCCCACTGCAGTGGCGTAGCCAGGTAATTTTTTCAGAGGGTGTTTTTCTTTGCTCAAACCAATCCAAAGACCCACGCACAAAAAAAAAAAAAAAGGAAAAGAAATTGTTTGAACACATTTTTGTTTACTATTTTCCTGCGTCTTAGAAGACAAAAATCCAACCTTTATTGCCACGCGTCGTTCGTTTAACATTTAAAGAGGGTAAATTTAATGTTAAACAACGAAAGAACGCAATCATGAAATATAATAATAGGCTTTGAACAAAAAACTCCAGACAGGCTCTCAAAATATTTCGGTGCGTGCACTTCTTTGCGGAACACTCGGGCATTCAATGACTGAAAACTACGAAAGAGCGCAAGAGAATAGCGAAGTTTAGAATACGATTAATCATAAAAACTACTATGCGCACTGGGGCAATGAGCAGCTGAAGCGTCACGCTCATTGTTCCTGAGCGGATTACATCTTCCAAAAATTACTGTTCTATAGTCTTGTTTTAGGTCATTTCCGCTTTTCGTTGTCGTTTTACGAAGTGGAAGAAAAAAAGAGTTTCTATCATTTTGTGAAGTCTAAACATTTAGTGGAAGCCGTCGTCGGTCAATAGAAAGAAGGGAGAGGACCCTTTTGGTTCTGACTTGCATGTTCCGAGGAATGTTCAAAGGCGCACTTCAGTGCGAGCTTTTTGCGCTTGCTAACACAAGTGTGATCGGGCAGGCACGCGCAACCAACGCACTGCCGAAACCAGTGAGCTCGCGCTGAAGGCGGAGCGTCTAGTCTCAGTTTAGAACGGAGTAGCAAGCGTTCCTGGGACGTTGAAACTCTCAGGAATGACTTCAGTCTTCGGAGTCTCGAGAACGAACGTTCCGCTTCAGCGGTGCTAATGGGCATGGAGGCCAGGATTTGCAGCACGCGGTTTGCATTAGGATACAAGGCATCTAGGCAAATGAAAGTTGCCTGTACCGCCGAGACGCGCTAAGCGGTGCGGTCCCTCTGCATCTGTGTCAAAGCCAGTACTTCCCTGGGAAGTTTATTTAACGAAACAAATACTCCACACAGGATGGAGATTTGCTCGAAATCGAGGCTTGCGACATAATGACCGACGTCGCTGACCACAACATCGACGATGCTGCCTGACGTGATTGTGCCGACTCTCTCGGAGACGTTGATGACACGCTTGAAGTTGTAGTTCAATAATACTTCTCGAAAAAAGCGTCAAGAGACAGCTTGGCTCTTGAACTCATTTTTGAGAGTTATATATGTAAAGGAAGTTCGACGACTCGCATGCTGCACGCAAGCATGTAAACATTACCCACTGCAGGAATTAGAGAAGTCAACAGGTACGCTTTGAAACCAAGTGATTATGAGCACTCCAAATCTGCTTCAACACTGCAAATGCTGCCGCTTTTCTCTCTTACTCATTTTCCTCTTTTGTTTTCATTCTTGGTGATATTTTTATGTATGTGTTTTTTTACATCTTTTTAGGTGTATTATTGAGGCTAAAGGAGTACAAGCGGGTATACCCTAAAAAAGAAAAAAACGAGACGCACAAAAAAAAAAAAGAAAACCGCTAACTTGTTTGTTATTTTGTCGTCCGGTTTTCTCCTCATTGTAGCGTTCGTAAAGTCAGAGTGTTGATATTTTGGAATTTTGTTGCGCTTCCCTCAAATTGTAGTAGAGTCCTTCAGATTCAAAGGGTAGGAGAACTTTAGTCAAGCCGCCTGCATTCTCCAAGGCGAGGCCAGCGTCCTTCGAGGTCAGGATTTCGTGGCTTTCGTGGAGTCGGGAGTTGAGCCATTCGCACCTGCGAGCCTGAAAAAAGGCTTCGGTTACTAACACGGCGGAGTTTGGCGAAAGCTGTTCGAACAGACGGAGCCGGACATGTGCTTTTCACGCAGTTCATGGACAGTGTCGTCATATTCGTTTTGCTTTGGGATGTTCTGGTCCTGGCCCCTTGCCGTAGAGGGTTTTCGAACAGAAAGAGAAACACATAGGATTTTTAGTGTCCTAAAAAACACGCACACGCACAAAAGAAAAACATAAAAATACTGACATTAGAAAGGGGAAAGGGGGTAGGAGGACAACACTGAAATTTCGGGGGGTGTTCCGACCCTTGAACACCCCCCCCCCCCCCCCCCCCCCCTGGCTACGCCACTAAGCCCCAGTAATATTATATTTCGTTTCAAGATCGGCACGCAGCCGGTGCTACGAGTTGGTGCGGCCAATCAGACGGCGTCAAGAGTGCACCGTCATGGTGGTCGTCATGTTTTTGTGCATGTTCTATCATCGCCGAACCAATCATGCACCTGAAAGGCCCGGTGACTTGCGCTTTCGATGCTGCTTTATTGGTCCAATTATCTCGGGGCGTGCTTTGTGCTCTGCGGAAATACCGCTTAGAATGCATCCCTGACGTTAATGGCCTGTGAAACACCCGTTCGTTTTTCACCACACGCAATCGAAGTCGCAGAAAAAAATAAATAAAGAAGAACAAGCAGCGTTCACCTCCTTAACTCGCAGCCAGAACAAGCGGCCACGTGATCTGGAACCAATTACATGCCGCCATTGTTGATCATAGCCACGCGCTGGGATTGGGAAAGCACAGGACACGCGCTGAGTTCCAGACATTGTTATGGCTCGGCTATTGTCGTCGTTGCAGCGATTGGACACGGTCCACTTCCTGAATGCTTCTCTAGCTATCGATTATCACGAGCCAATTCAAGTGCCACGCAATGCTAGGGTCCAATCTATGAGCCGCATTCAAGTATCGCCACTGGGCGGTACTGCGACCGCCCAACTACTTGATAAAGTTTTGCGAAGGAGAGATTGATTGAAAATGCTCGCTTTTCTCCTTAAAATTACACTGCAACAAAGGAGTTTCTTGGCCAGTGGCGTTGCGTGCGAGTATACTTGGGTCCCACTAGTACCAGTAATCTCGGGTAAAGTGAAAAACATTCTAATTGAACATGGTTGCACCACCCTTTTAAGCTGAAACAAAGTGTAGAACAAAAACAGCTTGATTTCTTTAGTGAGCTAAAAAAATTATTTCTGTTTTCTTTTTTCCGTTCTTACTTGCTTGCAATAAGACATTGCTTTTTGTTTTTGCTTGTTTCGCCTTCTGATATGCTTGCAATAGGATGTTACGACTGATGAACGAAGTGGAAGGTGAAGCAAGAAAACTCAATGATCCAATTTGCTCAGAAGAGCATTGTTCTTTACTTGTTTTCAGACTGCTGTAGATATTTCTTCCTTCATGACTTTTTGATTTTAGTACA